CCGCCCCCCCGCCCGATTGGACAAATTATTCTGCTCCGCTAAGCTCACTCACTCGACTCCGCTGGCTCGCTCTGTTCCGCTCCAACATATGTCCTTTATTTGATATATAAGTCATATCTAACACATACTCATTTTGATTTCCTGATGTATTGATATAAAAGTAACCGGAAACTAGAGGATGTGCTTCTATTTCAAGCCGGTTAACAAAATATCTGCACAAAGGATTTGTACCAGCTTCCTATCATAGAAACATTGGTGTGTTCAGTGTTCAGCCATGATTGGGCATTTCTCAGCTACTTTCATATAAAAATTCATCCATGCAATGAGCAAAATACCTTTTTTATCTTTAACAAAGGGATGTTATGCTCTACTGTCATATCTTTTTGATTGAAGGTTGCAAAACTATCTATCAAAAGCTCATGGACATCTTGTAGGAGGATTCTTGATGTGCATATTGACGACCTCTTAGTAAAAAAGAGGTCGTAGATTGGATACATCTTTTAGGGGACTCAGCGAAAGCATTTAGCATTTTAAAAGAGTATAGCATGAAGTTGAATTTGACAAAATACATATTTGGCATTATTTCTAATTGGTTTTGGGATCCATAATGACTCCAATATACAATTATCCAAATCTTCAAAAAATGTGTGTGGTTATGGAAGCCATGTCACTTTGAACAATGAAAGACATTTGGAGGTTGACTGATGAGCTTTATAGGATCAGTTAGATTTATATTACATTTTGGGAGCACAGTGTCCCACCAAGGCAGTAAATGAATTGAGGACTTTTGCCTGGACCCAAAATGCAAATTGATGTTCATGATGTAAAAGTGTGTTGATACTTGGGGATTCACAACACGATAGTTAACTTAGTGCTTGTGTGATACCGGAGTTAACCCAAACCATAACGTAAGACACAAATTTATTAATAACTTAAAAGATGGTTACAATGATGACTCAAAAGAAAGAAAAAATTTGCGCAAATTAAAACATAAAACAAAACATTACAACAAAAACTCAACACATAAAGACACAACAAGCTCGACGAGGAGGGAATCCGGACGCGGCGAGTAAGGCGGCCGACGAATGCACGGATGGCAGCAGAAGCCAAGTAGCGGAGGCACGGATGGCGGCCGAGGCCTAGCAGTGAAGGCACGAACGGTAGTCGAAACCAAGGAGCGGAGGCACGGACGGCGAACGACTGCATGAAGGCTGGGGGCAGCAGCTGGAGGCTCTGGGAGGGCCTGATGAGGACTGCTATCTGGTGTGAGTTAGGCGACAGAGGCTGTGGACTGCAGGTGGGGGCATGCTGCAGCGTTGGGAGGCCCGGGGAGGGCTTGCCTTATCATTATGTGCAAAAATGGAAGCCATGAATAGTTTTGTACTATGTTATTCACTCTCATGGTGACCTTCATGGACAAGTTAGTGTCAGCCATCATCATATTCTCTTGAAGGTTAAGCTAAAAAACCTATACCACTAGGAAGCAAAATGCATACTGTCCATCACTCTCTGCCACCAACCGAAAGCTTCAAGGCCACCTTTGCCTCTCCAGAATATTTCATAGCTCCTACAAAGTTTGTATATTGTAATTTTACTCTTTCCTTGTATGTTGCTTCATACGTTTTCCATAATAGAAAGGAATGCTCCACTGGCTGCTTCTGTAAAACACATTCTAACAGGGTATCAGAACAATCAGGTTCTTCCCCAATCCCTAAACCTCTTCCTCTCTTTTTCTCCTTCCCCTCCTTCCCCACATACAATATCAGAAACATCTTACAACATAAACAGAGAGACCAACCTTGCCTCTTAGGAAATGACCGATATTCTCATTCCCTCATCATTAAAGTTCCTAATGTTCAACATTAAAGCCATCGTCAATGTCCAACTCACAGTCGAAAACTACCCCATCTGGAAACCCCAAATATACAAACTCTTCAAGGCCGACGGCTTTGAGGGCTTTCTCGATGGCTCAACAACCTGCCTTCCTACCGCCTGCAACTTAACCAAACAACAACTCCTAACCCACAATTACTACGTTGGCAGCTCATCGATCAAAACTTCTTTGTTGCCATCCACTCTTCTATATCTCCTACAATTCTACCATATATCCTCAACCTTGAATTCACCATGGAAATAAATAAAACCCTCCAATGTTGACTGCAGCTACAAATCGATCCAGGGTCACTCAACTAAGGAATGAGCTACACCACATCTCCTTGAAAGTCAAACCATGTCTCAATACTTGTTGGTCATCAAATCCCTCGTCGACAACATCGCAGTTGTCGGAGGTTGTAACGACCATGAGGACATAATCCTTCATGCCTTCAATGAAATCTACAACTTCTTAGATATTCGAACTTCGGCTGGGTTGGTGATTCTCAGGAAAGCCACTTAGCCACCAAATTATACATATTCCTTGGCCACTACTATCTTTATCGATGTTAAAATAAAAGACTGTTGAAAATTATTAATATTGCTAATTGAGTTAAATTACACTTAATTAATATTAAGTTAAATTTTAAAAACTTTGCACGACTTAGGGTCTGTTTGGGGGCGCAGCTAGAAAGCTTCGCGACACGCCACCACCGAAGTCTACAGTTTGGGGGGCGCAGTTGGAGAGCTTCATGGCCACCGCATGGGATGTTATCGCAAAAAGCGGGTCGCGGGATCGGCCCTGCGCCCCGTGTTCTTCTATTATGCTTTTACCCATTGCCCCTTCGATTGAAGGT